GGGGGGGGGGGGGGCGAGTTTCCCTGCAAAGTGGCAGGTGTGCGCGGTAGAGGAAAGGGGTGCCCGTGCAGCACACCCCTCGACGCCCGCACCGTGGGGCACGCCGGCCTCGTAAGCCCTGCGCCTGTCCTCCTCCGCCAGTTCCTTGGAGGGCGCATACATCGGCCTCCACTCTGACAGGGATCGATGGCAAGCGTTTGAGAGGACAGGGGTGCGCGGAGGGTCGTGTGCGGGCGGTTTGATGGGCGGCCGGAGGAATGAAGGTGTCAGCGCGGCCGGGTGACCTTGTTGGAGGAAATTCGCATCCACGCACACCTCATGGCTGCGGGCTGCGCTCGAGAGTGGGTGCAAGCTCGGCGCAACACCAGCGGACAGTCCGATTTAGCATGGTGACTGAATTGTCCAGCTGTTCGCTGCGGTTGTGTCCCACGCGTCAGTGTCAGGCCTCCATCCTCCCTTCCCCTCCCCCCGCCTGCCGCGCAGTTGGTATCAGGCTCACCCCCCAGCCCCTGTGTGGTTGCCGCGCACCTGACAGCTGCCCGCCATCGGGCTGCACCACGGGGGTGTACCGCGAATCGCCCTTGTAGAATGGGTAGTTGTTGGGCGGCACAGGCAGGAAGCCGGTGCGCCCCGTGCCTGCGGGGAACAGTAGCGAGAGAGGGGGGGGGGGCGGAAGGGGGGGGGCATAAACTGCACAGGCCAGGCGGCCTGATTGTCGCTATGGTGTCGGTTGGACGCACCGATTGGGGCGTCGTGCATCGTACGCCAGGCGACCACGCCCGCACGCCCAGCGTTCAGCTACGGAGAAAGCTCTCCTTTCAAATGGTATCGCACCCGGGGTGGGGTTGTACTGGCTGAACTTGATTTCGTAGGCAGTGGCAGGGCCGCTGCCAAACTCAGACGCGGCATCCAGGCCCGCCAGCTCCTCTGCAGACCACGTTGTGGGTGGTGAAAGCATCGTAAGGTGCTTCGAGGTGTTTTCAGAGTCGCTGGGCGCCTGCGAGGGCGTCTCCTCTGGAATTGTCTTGCCCGACAGCCTCGGCCGGTTCGACAACGGCTTTCTGGAACCCGGGCGGAGGCGGGATGGTAACAGGCGTTCCATTTCAGCACTGCATGCCAATGAAGGCAAATAGGAACGGCTTGAGGGCGGCAGCTATGAAGTCAACAGCACAGCTGGGGCAAGGACATCAGCAGGCACTGTGGAGACGTCATCCTGCAGTCTTGCTAGTCTACACGATTACTATTTTCTGCCTTAGTATACTTTCCCCAGCTGAAGCGCGCGCACATTGCAGAGTTGAGATCTGCGCGCCGCGTCCTGCGGCCAAGCTTCTAGCACCTGTGCATTGGTCGTATAATATTCGGTCACAGGTTGTATCATTCTTAGAGAATCGTGGGTAGCAATGGCCAAGTACCAGTTGCCCGAAGGCCCCGTCGGCCTCGCCATCAAGGTCTTGGCGGGGCTTGCAGCAGCTTTCTTGTGGTCCAGTGGACCTGGTGCCGAGGAGGCCAGGTGAGGTCGATGCTGCGCCGCTGCCGCAACTGCGGCACTGCGTGCTTGCGCATGCTGCTTGCGCACAGTGTGCGACGGCCGCATCAGCTCTGGGTCAGCATGAGAGCGCAACGCATTCGGCACATCCTTTGGGCACTGATACGTTTAAAAGTGTCAAGCAAGCATGTATAGCATCGAACAGCGCCATCTGGTGCACACGTGCAGCTGGAATCAGCATGCCAACATCCATCCTCGTGCCGCGCCGCGCGCGGCGACTCCGCCCCGCAACCCTGCCGCAGCGAGGCGCGCATGAAGCAGGAGAAGCGCACGCCCTACTCCCGGCACTACGCCCTCAAGGGCCGCGGCCGCAAGGAGCAGCTCATGTTTGAGAACAAGGGCGACCGGACTGAGCTCGTGCCCACGCGCGCCTCCGTGGGCATGTGAGCGGCGCCAACTCGCACGCCCTGCGGCTGCCGATTCAAGAATAGCAGCTTCGGCAGTAGCAGCGGCGGCGGCGGCAGCTTCAGCAGCAGCGGTGGCGGCAGCAGTGGCGACGCTGTCCGCACCATCAGCTGTGGCGTCTGATTTTTCAGCCAACTGCAGCACCCAAACCTGCTCACGCCGCTGCGGCAACAGCGGCAGCAGCAGCGGAAGCGGCGGCAGCAGCGGCAGCGGCAGCGGCGGCAACTTCAGCCCAACAGTTGCAACGCAGCTCGGGCAGCAGCACCTGTAGCGTTAGTGTTAGTGGGAGCGTGGTCGGCGCCTGCATCAGTGCAACTCCACTACACCCTGCCTCTCGGCTTGGTAACAAATCATGCGGTTCCTGGAGCCGGTTCTTGTGGCGGGATGGATTTGCAGCGGCCATCTCCATGCGTCTGGCGCGAGGCACTGTGGGTGCAACAGTGCCATGCCCATCTCTTGCTTCGATGGATTCATTTTTGCCTTGTGCCCTTGTCTCGCCCTCACATACCCATGTGCACCCTTCTAGCTGTGTTCCACATCCCGTCATAGTATTGTAAACCATACATGCAAACAAGGGCCAGCATTTTGGTACTCATACATACTGCATGCTGTGTATCGTCACCATGGGCAGCAGCAGCCGCCGTCGTGCGTGATGTACTCGGGACGACGCACAAACAAGATGGCATAATGCAGAATTTATGGATGATTAATCAAGCAGGATTCCTGGCTTGAAGAGCACCAACCAAAGCATAACGGTCGAACACCCCGGGTGCATGTGTCCCACATCGACCCCGCCCACCCTACAGCACCAGCAGCCTACGGGTGCGGGCCCACAGGCGAGTTTCCGCCCGGGTTGATGAATGTTGCAATTGTCTGGACATGCATCCATGATCATGCACTGATGTGGCGCACCTTTGGCGGGGGATGATGGTGGTATCGGGGCTCGGGGGGTCGCTGCCCGGGAGCTTCTGGGCCGTGGACTCCAGCAACTCGCGCTCTGCTCGCGCTTGAGCGCGTGCAGCCAATCTCAATGCACTTTTATTCGATCATAGATCGCACCAACCACGCTCATTCACAATGGCTCTCGCCTTCAAGTCCGCTGCTTCGAGGAGCATTGCGGCCAACCGGGGCGCTCGCTCCGTGGCCCCCATTGTGCGCGCCAAGAGCGTGGCTCGCTCCGCTGGCAGGTTTGTGCATAGGGCAGGGGCCGTCTGGACGACACATTGGCAGCGGCATGCCCTTGCGATCGGAGATCGCCGCAGTTGGGCTTCGCTCCTGACGGCAACTGTCGTCCTGTTCGGTGCTCTGTACACACAGTCGATCCGAATGAATGCCGTAGAACCCTGCACTCACGCCATCTCGCTGTGGCTCGATGCGGCACGCGCGCTCTGCTCCGACGCCACCACCGATCGCTCGTTGTCATGCCCAGCCATTGGGCAATGCTGCCTACGCCGGCCCCAAAGCACACCCTCCCACGCTGCCTTGCAGCATGCTGATATCGAACGCACCGCGCGTCCGCCCTGGCCCTGAACGCGCAGGCGCAGCGTTGTGGTGAACGCCGCCGCCCCCCTGGTTGGCAACACCGCCCCCGACTTCAAGGCCACCGCCGGTGAGAGCTCCCTGACCGCAGCCTCCTGAAATCCCACCTAGATCCAGCGCCTGTTCATACGGCAAGCATGTGGAACCCCTCCCCGGACCCACAAACGCCCGCCGGCACGCAACCCGCCACCGACCCGCCTGGACAGCCGGCGAACCCTGCGTCCCCGGCCATGACACCCCTGGCCGCGCCACTGACCCGCCCCATCGCCCTCCTTCTGCCCCTGCATCTTCCAGTCCTGGACCAGGAGTTTGTCGACATCACCCTGTCCCAGTACAAGGGCAAGTACGTCGTGCTCTTCTTCTACCCCCTGGGTGCGTTGCGCGGGCTGGGGGTGGGAGGGCTGGGGTGTGGGGGCATGCCTCTTGAGCACAATGACTGTTGGCGGTTGTGGGGCTGGCTGCCACACGCATGCGGCATGGGGCAGGCAGCTTCTCAAGGCGAGTGCTGCTGCGAAGGGTGGAGTCGAGCGGTGCCAGGGAGCCGACGCCGGCCGCTTGCTGCGTGTGCATTCGGGGTCGCCTGAAAACCAAACCAGCATTCAGCTGCCAAGGGAGCAGCGCCGGCCTCGCCCGCCGCCAGCAGCGCTGACCCCCGCTGCCACCCGCCCCTCGTGTCGCATGCCTTTGTGCCCTGTAATGTGTCTCCTCGGGGACGCCGCCCTACAGACTTCACGTGAGCTTTGGAGGGGGCGAGGGGGGAGCGGGGAGGGTGCAAGGGATGGCAGGCCTTCGCTCCTGGCTTGATACCGCGTGGGCTCCGTGCCGATGCGCCACCCTTGGAGCAGCACCGGGCATGCAAGTGCACTGCTGCGGCCGAGCCACGCCCGCCGCCCGCGACCTCCACGAGAGTGCGACGCCTCGGGTCCTGCTCACCCTCTCCCGCGACCCCCCTCCACCCCCCCCCCCTCTCAAACCACCCCAGCTTTGTGTGCCCCACCGAGATCACCGCCTTCTCTGACCGCCACGCCGAGTTCAAGAAGCTCAACACCGAGGTGCGCCGCTGTGCCGTTTTTCAGAGGCCTTTTTTGGGGTGCCTTCGAGGGTTTTTAGGGGGGTGTGTCATATCTTGGGGTCTCTCTCTTCACCGCGGAGGTTGGGGTCGGGGCACCGCGGGCTCGCTGGCAACTGGAGCGCGCCAGGCGTAGGGTTGGTTGCTCTCGAGGCAGGCGCGGGGGTGGTTGGGGGGAGGCACGCGCTTCTGGGTGGAGGGGCGGCGCTTGGGTGCGCGGTTTGGTTGTGGGTGGCAGCTGGGCTTCGCGCGGCTTCCGCGGCAGCTGTCGTTATGTTGCTGCAAAGGTCCAGTTGTATGCCGTTGTTGGGGCGAGGGCGGGGACTTGCCTGTTTCAGGGCACAGGCCGCATGTTACTCCAGCGGCTCGCGGTTTGGTGAGGCTCTGAGTTGCAGCAGGAACGCTGTGCATCTCCGCACCTCCCGGCAAGGCTGCCCGCATACTAGGCGGGCAGCTAGTAGCTGCCTCGGCTACCTCCACACAGGAGGCTGCCGTCTTCGGCAGCAGCCACCGCCAGCCCCCAGCAGCAAAGCGCCCATCTCAACCGCGACCTCGCAATCCACCCCACCCCAACCCTCAACCCGCCTCTCATCCCGGCCGCCCCAGTCGCTGCTCCTCAACCGTCCAGCCATCCACTCAACATCCGCGCTCCCACCACCCCGACAGACCTCAACCTCCCCCGTTTCCTGGCGCCACTCCAACTTACCTATCAC